AAATTTACCATCATTCGCCCAAAAAATTATAAAAAGTCTCTGTTATGTGGAGTTATCTCGCAGACTTCGGCTGAAATGCCACCCAAAAATGGCGGCGTGAGAAAGGCTAATTAATTTAATTTTTGAATACCGATGTCTCGACAAACATTTTGGTAGGTACTTGGTACCGTTTTTGGTAGGTACCTGGTATAGACCACCCAATTCTCCTAGAGAATTATTAAATCTATTTGAAAACACAATCGATCGAATCGATGCTGAAAACTCTGAATTATACTTTCTTGGAGACCTAAATTGTAATTTAACTGCACAAATCTCTGATGCAAACACTTCTGATTTGTTAAATATCCTAGACACTTATGGTCTGACACAATTAATCTCTGAACCAACTAGAATAACACCAGTTTCACAAACCTTAATTGACCTATGCATTACTAATTACCCCGAAAGTGACCTCTTCCGGTGTCCTCTCGCTGGGTATAAGTGACCATTCACTTGTCTATATGATTCGCAAATCTGGTTACCCAAAGATAACAGGAAGGACCATTAAAAGGAGAGATTTTAAACACTTTAATGAGACAAACTTCCTTGATGGTCTTTCCCAGCTAAATTGGGATGTTATTCAAAATTATGATGATCCAAACGACATGTGGAGAGTTTGGGTTGACATGTTGATGAACGTAGTGAATAAACATGCCCCAATAAGGGGGACTAGAATTGGTAAAAAAAGATCCCCTTGGATCACTCCTAATATACTACAACAAATGCGTTCAAGAGATTATTTTAAAAAGAAGTTTGAAACCACTAAAGACATTTCTACTTGGAATTTATATAAGAAAGCTAGGAACGAAGTGAACAGCAATCTGAAATAATTGAAACGTGACTATTTCAGTACCAATCTTGACTTAGCAAAAAATCTTATAAATCAACTTAGTTCTCGTAATGTTAGCAAACGCTCTACTGTTAATAGAGTACTAGTTGACTTTAATGGTGCAGAAGTAACCGATACGCATGAAATAGCTGAGGCATTTAACACACATTTTACCGAAATAGGTGAAAACCTGGCTAAAAGTATTCCTATAACTGATGTCAACCCAATATCTTATATTAACTCTACAAATAGTACTAGTGTGTTTCCTTCAAGACAATTGAGGTTAACTATGTTAAAGATTTGCTTGGAAGGATAAACACCAAAAAATCTAGTGGTCCCGACAACATTCCATGCAAATTACTAAAGTTAGCTAGGGATGTTGTATCCCCTTCCCTGACGCATATTTTTAGCAAATCACTCTGCACTAGCATATACCCAAAAGAATGGAAAATTGCCAATGCTACACCTATCCATAAAGATGGTGCCAAACACGACCTCAACAATTATCGTCCAATCTCAATTATTTCAGCCGTTGCAAAATTATTTGAAAGTATTATTCACGACCAATTTGATTACTATTTAACGTGCAATAAATTACTGACTAAATGTCAGTCTGGATTCCGAACAATGCATAGCACGGTCACTGCACTGCTCGAAACAATGAATAGGTGGTCGATAAATATCGACAATGGACTACTCAATGGTGTAGTTTTTATCGACTTAAAAAAAGGTTTCGATACTATTGATCACGCAATTCTTCTGGATAAACTTGCTCAATACGGGGTTGATGAAAACGCATTAACATGGTTCCACTCTTATCTAACCGATCGTACACAAAGATGTTGTGTAAATGGACATCTATCTAGTAATCGACCAATCACTTACGATGTCCCCCAAGGTTCAATAATAGGTCCCCTTCTATTCTTGGTCTATATCAATGAGTTGCCAAACTGTCTGAACAATGGCTTATCGAGTATGTACGCGCATGACACAAATATTAGCTTTCAAAGCTCTAATCTTTCTGATCTTGAAGAAATTATGAACAGCGAGCTGAGTAGTTTAAACACCTGGCTCAATGCGAACAGATTAAGCTTACATATTACTAAAACTGAATTCATGGTCATTCGCTCTCGACAGAGGCTGATGTACCATGATGTTAACAATCTTAATATATGCGTAGATAACACTCAAATTAAAAGAGTACAGTACACGAAATCCTTAGGTGTAACAATTGATGAAAATTTAACTTGGAAGAACCATATTGATACTATCTCTAAAAAAGTATCCTCAGGAATTGGTGCCCTCAAACGAGTGAGGCGATTTGTAAACAGGGAAATTGCAGTGAAAGCGTATAAAGGCTTAATTGAGCCTTACCTTAATTACTGTTGCCAGGTTTGGGACGGTATCAGCAGCGAACTGAGCAATAAGTTACAAAAGTTACAAAACCGTGCTGCTCGTATGATCACGGAAAGCACATATGAAAACTCCTCGAATTCTTTACTGGAGGAGTTAAACTGGCACCAGTTATCTCTTAATCGCAAAAAACATAAAGCAAGTCTTATGTATGAAACTATAAACAAGAGGGTACCGAAATATCTACAAGACATATTTATTTCGCGATCTTGTCCTTACAGATTGAGAAACAATGAAAATACATTATTTGTCCCTAGGCCACATACAGATTATCTAAAACGCTCACTCAGCTACGATGGAGCTGTTTTATGGAATAGTTCACCAACTGAACTTCGTTCGGCACAATCTCTTAGTGCTTTTAAACGAGGTCTAGAATGTTGGTTAGCTTAGATTCACACACGGCAATCATGTAAATCAGTACTGTTCTGTCTTTTGTAAATAGCATTTGTATGCCTGACTCTGAAGGTAAAAAAATTCTTATTTGCATAAAATTAAAAAACTAAGGGGGCTGAGACTAGCAAGCTTAAATATTAATAGTCTCCTAAGACATGTTGATGAACTTCGACTGATGTTATATACTAGACTTGCATCCAAATCGTCCTACTCTATTCCCAAAACAAGAACAAATTATGGAATCTAAGATATCAAGGAGCCAAAGTATGGAACTCTCTTGATGAAACAAGAAAAGCTCTATCTCTTTCCTCGTTAAAAAAAATTTAAAAGCTAATTTTATCAATAGTTATTGATAAATTATGGCTAATTTGACAATTTTCGTAGATTGTCGATTTTCTATGTAATGATTAACAAAATCTCCTAAATGATGTGCAGCGGTTGTTGTCTTTGTCTGCGTGTTCTCTCTCTCTGTGTTTCGACCTAGTGTGTTTATACCCATCATACAAATCTATCATCATGTGCATCTTTCACTATAGTGATCTGGCTGTCCGACATCTAGCCCTTTACGGTTATTACGGGTAGCCAGTACCTATTTTTGATATATTATACTAAGTGAATTGTAATAAATATGTTTAAATAAAAAAAAAATGAATTGTAATAGTGTAATAGTTTTTTTCTTTGGGGTACAAATAAATTGTTGTTGCTGTTGTTGTTGTATGTTATCCGATTCTGAAATTGACGTTTTTGCTATAAACAAATCTAAAATTGATAATTCAGTAAAAGATAGTGAAATAAGTATCCCAGGATATAATATGATTCGAAAAGATCGCAATAGATTTGGGGGTGGAGTGGTTGTTTATATTCGAGAGATATATTCCTTCTATGAGCGGAAGGATTTAAATTCAGATGATCTTGAAATGATTTGTATTGAGATTTGTAAACCACGAAGTATGCCATTTCTCATTAGTGCATGGTACAGACCGCCCAACTCTGAGATGAAACTATTTGATTTCTTTGAAATATATCTTAGTAAATGAGATGCTGAAGGCGAGTTGATTGTTATTGGTGACATAAATTGTAATATGATTAAGTCGGTCACCAAAAGACTCCAGTACCAAAAAGTTAATATTTCTGAGCACATTATATAACTTAGAGCAATATTGATCGAGGAGCCGACTAGAGTCACAAGCACATCATCATCTTTAATTGATCTAGTGTTCACCAATCAACCCAATAACATTTCCAATAGTGGTGTTGTTGACTTGGGAATGTCAGATCACAGTTTAATTTATGCGGTGAAAAAGGTGACCATGCCTAAATATACGCAAACCCGTTCCAAAGTTAGAAATTTCAAAAGATTTCATGAAACTGATTTTATTGAGGAACTGTCCAGAATACCTTGGTATTTAGCTACACAGTATATGAACCCAAACGATCGATAATTGGCATGTATGGAAATCTTTTTTTTTGAGACAGACATGCACCCTTAATTTATAAAAGCATTAAGCACAATTCTGTTCCCTGGATAAATTCCAACATTAAAAAACTAATAAGATCCAGAGACTCATAAAAAGAGAGCAAAGAAAGATAATTCCCAGGTTCACTGGGATAAATATAAATCGGAGAGAAATAAAGTTAACTCGGAAATGAAAAGGGCCAGAACTGTCTATTATCAAACAAGAATTAAGGAATTTTCCCCCGCTAAAGACATGAAAAAAACATGGTCACTGATAAACACCCTATTGGGCAAAGGTGGGAAATCATCTAATTTGCAGAAATTAATATTAATGGAATAATATATAATGATCGCAAACAAACAGCTGAACACTTAAACGACTATTTTGTTAATATTGGCCCAACACTCGCTGCTGAATGTGAACGTCTTTCGGATTATGAAGACTTGCATTGTAATTCAACTGGTGTAAATTCAAAATTCTATTTCCATACAATTACTGAAACCAATATTCTAAAAAACCTGAAAAATGTAGAGTATCCAAGGCTACCGGGGCTGATGGAATACCAGCCAAAATGCTGAAATTATCTTGTGATATTATTGCCCCATCCTTGACCTATATATTTAATCTCTCAATTTCTACTGGGATATATGTCGATGATTGACAAAGAGCTAGGGTAATACCTGTTTATAAAACAGAAGATAGAACGAAATGTGAAAACTATCGCCCGATATCTATTCTTCCAATTATCAGCAAATTATTTGAGAAAGAAGTATTTGGACAGCTCTATCAATATCTGATAGACAATTCTCTACTTTCACGTTTTCAATCGGACTTCCGGCCCAAACATTCGACACTGTCCTTGTTAATAGAAGTGAGTGACAATTGGTTTGAAAATATGGATAATGGAGAAATAACCGGATTAATTTCAGTTGATATTAGGAAAGCCTTTGACTCTATTGATCATAAAATCCTATTAAGGAAGATGCAAGACCAGTTTGGTGTTCAAGATTTTGAGCTAAAATGGTTCCAATCCTATTTGACGAAACGAAGCCAAGTTTGTGTTGTCGATGGCCACACATCGTTGGCTAAGGAAATTGTATGCGGAGTTCCACAGGGATCTTCTTGGAACCCCTCACGTTTTTACTATATATAAATGATTTGCCAGAATGTCTGAAAAACACAACTCCTGGCATGTATACTGATGATACACAAATATATGCATCTTCCGCAAGTTTCTCCGAACTAGTAACCAAACTTAATCAGGATTTAGAAAATATAGTCAAATGGCTCTCTCGAAATAAATTGGAACTTCACACAAAAAAGACAAAAGCAATGTTTATAGGATCACCCTATAACTTAAAAAACAACTAGTTGGTAATGAACAGGTTATGATAAATGATAAACCGGTTACTCGTTATTCCTCTCTTCCATGTCTGGGAGTAGAACTAGATGAAAGAATGAGCTGGGAAAACCATATAGACACAATATGTAGGAAAGTTGGCTCCGGTATTGGAATCATCAAAAGAGTAAAGCCGTTTGTACCGTCCGAAACACTACAAAATTTATATAATTCTCTCGTTCTCTTATATTTTGATTATTGTTCATCTTTATGGGATAATTGTGGAAGCATGCTCAAAGAGAAATTACAAAAACTACAAATTAGGGCGGCAAGAATTATGACAGGTGCCAATTATGATGTCAGGTCGACAGATTTGCTCCATGCTATGTCATGGAAAAATCTGAACGACAGACATAAAATGAATAAATCGGTCCTGATGTTTAAAATATTAAACAACCACTCAGCTCCGAACTTAAAGGATAAATTTATAACAAGGGACATAAATCTTAGTAGCCTACTAATTATAATCTCAGAAATGCTGATATAAATCTTTCAGTTCCTAAACCACGTAATGAATATTTAAAAAAGAGTTTTGGATATAGCGGGGCTGTTCTATGGAATAGTTTACCAACGCAGGCAAAGCAAACAGAATCTTTAAGTAGCTTCAAAAATTTGATAAAATAATGTGTGCAACAGAGTCAGGCAACTTTTTTATCTACGTATTTGTTATTCTGTGTTATTCTATTTCATATTTAATTTATATTAGTTTTTAGAATGTAATTTGTGTGACGCCCTTTAATGAAAATCATCCATGGGTGATGAGGGAAGCGTAGTTAAATAAAGTTCTACCATACTATACACGGCAAAAATATGTCATTTTCAAACGCCGACATCTCGGCAATCAAATATTATTTGACTATAATTTTTATACCGATGTTAACAATCAATCAATAGAAAACAGCAAGTATTTTCTCACGCAAGAATTTGCTGAATTAATTAATAAAAGATGCGTACATGAAAATCAATTTTCTGTACTAAGTCTAAATATTAGAAGCATACGGAACAAGGTTGATCACTTCTTAAACTACCTAAAATCGCTTAATCACACATTTACCGCAATAGCCCTGACAGAAACATGGCTAAATGACGACACTTGCGATATTGATAATTTCAACATACCAGGATACATAAACTATAACCTTAACCGTAAGTCTAAAGTAGGTGGAGGTGTCTGTACTTATATTAAAGAAAACATTATGGTTAAAACTCGAGAGGATATAACAAGTGATTGTAATTCAAACAATATTGAAAGTATTTTTATTGAATTAATACATCCTAAAGAAAAGAATACAATCTTAGGTGTAGTCTACAGACCACCGAATAATATGTTTAGCGGTTTTGAAGAAAAAATTAAGTGTGCTCTAAGCAAAATAGATAAAGAAATTAAAGAATGTTATATTCTTGGAGATTTTAACATAGACATTCTGAAACACGAAAAATGCGAATATTCTGCACGATTTCTAAATCAAATGATGTCATCTATGTTGTTGTCGATCATATCAAAACCTACACGAATAACAAGTAAGACAGCAACACTTATAGATAACATATTTACCAATTCAATACATAAGACACAGCTGAGTGGAATACTATATAGTGACATATCAGATCACTTGCCAATATTTCTAATTAACAATGAAAATGAAACATCGACTAAACCCAAAAATCAGAATTATATGACTAGATATATAACAAATAAGTCAATAAATAGCTTTTTAGAAGACATCAATGATGAAACATTTCAACAGGCTATAAACCAGGATGATCCAAAAAATCTTATAATTCATTTATGGAAATATTTCAAGAGAAATACAATAAACATTTCCCATTAAGAAAATCTAAAACAACAAAGATTAGACTAAACAAGAGTCCATGGATCACGCAAGGTATTGTAAAATCCTCACGTACAAAAAATAAACTATAAAACATTAAATAAAAATATAAAACATTCATAAAGAATCCTAATAAAAAACTCGAAACTAAATATAAACTCTACAAAAATAAGCTACATCACATAATAAGAATAGCAAAGAAAAATTACTTCAGTAAGAGAGTTGAGGAAAGTAAACGCGGCATAATATGAAAAAGACATGGGAAGTTATAAACGAACTAATACGAAAGGAAAGAAACAAACCGCAGTTACCAACATCATTCCTACAGAAAGGAAAACATATAAATAACCCTAACAAAATAGCGAACAATTTCAATGATTACGTTTGCAATATTGGGCCTAACCTTTCAAAAAAATTTGATAAAATTTCTACAAATTATAAAAAACATCGAGATGGAAACTATACAACTTCAATGTTTCTATCTGAGATAAAATCGTCAGAAGTGGGACAAATAACATACCACTTAAAAGCTAATAAAAGTCATGAGCATGATGAGATTCACCCCAAAGTGATTAAAGAAGTAGGATATAAGATTAGTCCTGTACTTTGTCATATATTTAATCAATCTTTCAAAACAGGAATTATTCCCAATGAACTAAAAATCTCTCTTATAACACCAATCTAAAATGGAAAAAATGATGAATTTGATAACTACAGACCAATATCGGTTCTTTCATGCTTTTCAAAAATCTTAGAAAAGCTAATGTACAAAAGGTTAATTGATTACATTGAAATAAATAACATTTTACATACCAAACAATATGGATTTAGAAATAACCGATCAACAATGGCTATCACTCATTTGATTGAGAAAATCAGAAAAGCAATTGAAAATAATGAGTACACAATTGGAATATTTTTAGATTTATCAAAAGCATTTGATACCGTTAACCATTCAATTGTACTTGAGAAACTTGAATTTTATGGAATAAATGGATTACATCACAAATGGTTTAAAAGCTACCTAACAGAACGTGAACAAATTGTCAAATTTAATAAAACACTATCGATAAGAAAACAAATTAAATGTGGCGTTCCTTAAGCTCTGTTCTAGGACCATTACTATTCTATATATAAATTATATATCTAACTCTAGTAATTTGACATCATTCATAATTTTCGCAGATGACACAAATCTATTTTACTCTGGAAAAAACATTGTACAACTGGAATCAACAGTAAATAATGACATTAAGAAAATCTCTGAGTGGTTTAATGATAATGAATTAACACTTAATGTTAAGAAGACAAATTTTAGTAACTTTAAGACAAAGAAAAAGAAACTAAATCATAATATAACAATAAACATAGGGAATAATCAGCTATCTCAAGTCAATAGTACAAAGTTTCTAGGAATTATTATCGATGAACATTTAACATGGAATGACCATATAAATTATGTAGCAAATAAAATATCGAAGACAACTGGTATACTCACAAAAACTCGTCACTTTCTGAATACTAACACACTAATAACATTATACAATACGCTTGTTTACCCATATCTATATTATGGTGATATAGTGTGGGCTAATAATTATCCATCCAGATTAAAAAAATCATAAAAATAAAAAAAAAGCAATTCGGTTTATTACATTCAATCCATACATTGCAAAGTCAGCGCCTCTTTTTCAACAGCTAAAATTATTAAACCTTAATCAAATAAACGATTTATGTACTAGCCTTTTCATGTTTGATTACATAAATGGAAACCTACCAGCCTCATTTAATGATTATTTTACCACAAATACTAAAATACACCATCATGACACCAGAAAGTCAAATTCTATACACCAAAAATATTTCAGAACAAATTACGGGAAATTCTCAATTAAAACGAAAGGAACAGATTTATGGAATAAAATTCCATCACAAATTAAATATTTTTCTTCAAAAATGCCCTGTAGACTTGCAGTAAAAAATACATATTATCTCAAAACAAATAATTTCAATATAGCCTAAAATAAGATTTATTATATTTGAACTTATTGCATCATATACATATAATATATATTATAATTCTATCAATGTAAATATACGTTAGTTCATAGCTTGATTACCTGATAATTTTTTAAATATTATAAATGTATCAATATAATACTAGGAGCTGTAGGGGAACTGCTTGTAAAAGCCTTTTGGGTTTATTTTGTTCTCCGTCCAAATATGTTTTGTAAAATACAACTTGTACTGTATATATCTATCAAGTTCAAAGTATTGTAACATATTTGGAAAATTAAATTGAATTGAATTGAATTGAAAAAAATGACGAGTGACACCCTCGATACCACAGATGTAATCAGCAGAAACAAAATATAATAATAATAATTGCTGCCGAAGGCAGCATACTAATCTTTACGTTTTACTGTAGTGCCCAGTTTCTTTGACCGAGTTATAATTATTGGACGTGAAATCTCGATTTTCATTTTATTCAGGGGGCTGGGGGATCATTTCGGAAATATTCACCGTACGTTGCTGGTCCGTGATCTATTTGTTATTAAACTATCCGGCTTCATTTAAAGTTTTAATAGTCGTTCGTTTGTTAAGTATAAATTATGTCTTTAGTAGCTTGTGGAAGTATTCATCAGGGCCACGAACTCTTTAGTGAACAATCGCGAGGGAAACAATGCTCGTTTATGTGTTTATCAGCGTTCTAAACTGCTCAAGGCTCAAGCCCGTTTTTGAGTAGACCACAGGTAAATTAGATAATACTTCATAGTTTGCTTCATTGGGCTGTATTTCTGCCCTCATTGGGCTGTATTTCTGCCTCATCTGGCTGTATTTGTGCTTCGCTGGGCTGTATTTGTGCCTCATCGGGCTGTATTTGTACATCAATGGGCTGAATTTGTGCGTTATTGGGCTGTACTTGCGTTATTGGGCTTGTACTTTTCATATTATACTGAAAGTAAATATATTTATTAGTACAGTGGTGTATGTCCCGAATGTTATGAACAAAGGTATTCCTCCTTTGTGCCTTATTGGGCTGTATTTGTGCCTCATTGCGCTGTATTTGTGCCTTGTTGGGCTGTATTTCAGTATTTGTGCCTCATTGGGCTGCATGTATTTGTGCCTCATTGGGCTGTATTTGTGCCTCATTGGGCTGTATGTGTGCCTGAAAATTATTCGACCATTGGACAACAGTCGGTAATTCATCGATTGACAAATATCTCTCACGTGCAATCAGACCATTTTCAAAAGCATTTCGATACATACTGTCTCCTTGCAATAAAACACTGTCTATTGTAATCGAGTGAGAACCCATTGAGAAACAAAATGAAACAGTTTGGTATATAAATTATGGAAAGGACCGTCAAGGTTCAATTATTACAAATGAGCATGAAGTTTGAGCTCCCTATGTTAACTTTGGTTCAGATTTGATGAATACTTTTACACAAAGTAAGGATGCTATTTTGATATTAGATGGGTATATGATGGCCTTAATGCATGATATAAATTCATTTTTCTATTTATTTAATCCTCATGCCAGAAATTCTTTCGTATATGTCTGACCCTAATGGTACTTACTGCTGTTGTTTTTGAATTTGGAAAATCGCAATTTATTCCCAACTATTTAAAGATGTGGTACAGTCCGATCTGCGCATGTGCACAAAGGAGCCCTCTTTTTATTATACAAACAGTTTGTTTAGGTTTTTATTTTATTTTCATTTTATGGTTTTGCAAAGCTTAATTGTTGTGGCTGATAATTTATTATACTCTAGAATCATGAAAATATAAATAGTTGTCGAGTAAAATTCAATATTTTGGATACCGACATACGTACTGTACCGCATCTTTAATTTAAACGTTTATTTCCAGCTTAGTAATTACTAGTAATAATAATAATAATAATAATAATAATAATAATAATAATAATAATAATAATAATAATAATAATAATAATAATAATAATAATAACGAATTTATTAAGGCATATCTACATGGTAGCTCTACATCCTTAATTCCTATGCTAATATATAAAATATACAAAGGTATATATATACAAAATAAGTTTATAAATGTATAATATAGATGTATGCATGGCCAATAAAAATACGAATGTAAAGTTATTGTTTAAATCGTTCGTGGGCCTTATTAAAAAGGAGAGTCTTCATCGAATTTAAGAAGGATCTATGATCGTCATTATTTCTTAAAGTTATGGGTAGTTCGTTAAAAAACTTTGAACAAGAATTCTGAAAGGTTCCTGTTTCCAGCGGTATCTTCACATTGACCAAGTTGGGAAGAAAGAACTTGTCCTACCCTTTACAACGTGCATAAATTAAGACCAATCCTAGAATACGCAAGTCCGGTATTCCATAATGGTTTGACAAAATACCTCAGTCAGGATTTGGAGCGGATACAAAAGAGAACATTGCGAATTAACTTACCTTGGATCTCATATGAAGAGGCTTTACAATCAACTGTCCTCCAACGACTCAGCCATCGAAGAGACTATTTGAAGAAATAGTGATTGATGATAGCCATAAGCTTTATCGTCTTCTTCCACCACGTAATGAAACTGTTAATATGACTCTTACGCCTGTATTCTAAAAACTCACTCACACTCACACTAAAAGAGTGGAGGTTCAATCTCAGCTTCCCTTTAGTGTTAGTGCAGTTTTTGAATAGCTGGAGGGTTTGTGTCGTACCCTACAATGTGACTACTCACCCTCTAGCTATTCAAAAACAACACTTACACTCAAGAGAAGTCCAGATCGAACCTCCACTCTTTGAGTGTGAGCGTGCATGAGTGAGCTTTTAGAATACAGGCGTAAGATCCAGTCATAGATTTAACGTTGCATTTCTAACTAACCGTTTTAAAAATAGTTTTATTATACATAATGCATTAAATTATTCATCATAAATTTATTAGAACATTCTTAGATCCTTTTAGAGACATTTAGTTGTATAGTATTTTAATATTTTCTTAACTTGTAAATATAATATATAAGCGTAATTCAGCCTATTGGCTGCATTATTTATATGAAATAAACCATCTATCTCAGGGAGAGTGCGCAACTTGATCGAAGCTGTCGGTTACTGGTATGTAGTTCTAACCTCAGGGTCCCATATGGATCTATATGCGCAAAATGCATCAACTCAAGCTCAATCCTTTCTTGTACTGGCAACCATCCCAAAGATAACACATCTCCCGTGCGACAATACGTGTTGGTAACAAAACTTGCGGCTGCGTTTTGGACTCGTTGTAATTTCTTCAATTGATTCATCGGGAGCGGGTGATAGATAATAATATTATAGTATATGTTTGAGAGTATTAGGGATTTCTTAACATAAGGTGATGTAAGATTCCTTATTTTCCTTAAGGTAGAGAAGGACCGCGTAACAGGAAGAGGTTAAATGTTTTATGTGACATCCCCATTTAAGGTTATCACTGAACCATGTGCCTAAGAGTTTAAATTCCTTAACTTTCTCCAACATCTGACCCTTCACTTTGATATTAGGAGCCACAGCGTCAAGTCCATGTACTCTAGACATTTGCGAAGTTGTTATAAGCATTTGTTTGGTCTTCTTTTCATTTAGTACAAGATTTGATTCTGCAGTCCAATTTTCAAGCGTAGTCATCGCATCCTGTAGTTTCTCAGTACACTCGTTAATCGTCGAAGGGGGGCTGTGTCGATACAATGACGTATCATCTGCATACTGATAGCTTGAGCATTCCAGATCTATTTTCAAGTAATTTGCGTACAGATTAAACAGTACCGGCCCCAGAATGGACCCCTGCGGCACTCCAAACTGTACGCTAACTACCTCGGATTGTTTCTCATTAATTTGCACAAATTATTTCCTTAGCTTTCAATTGGGTAATTGAACACCCAGGAAACTGCATCACGAGAGAAACCTTCGCTCTCATACGCAATTGTGTGACGGGGCCTTTAATTAAATTAAAGCAATTTAGCAATTATAATTAAAGCAATGCATCAATATTTAAAACAAACTTATCTTCGTTGGTTTTTAAGATTTCAGCAATATATTGCCCTGCATGTCCTTTTCTGGACAGGGATATATATTGCTAGAAACTGTTTTTTCTGGTTTCTACATGACAGTCCACCATGTTTTTGAGATCAGTGAGGATGATCACCCACGAACGGTGAACGGTAAACCGTAGCCATGCGCCCACGATTTGGACTTCGCTAATGCTTTCCTTTCCCCGTGGGTAAATAGCTACGCGGAATTAGTACCCTCGCCCCGGGCTTACGCCCTGTTGGATGGGGGATTATAAACGTATACGTACCTGTTTTTTTAACATAACTGACGGCCTTCAAATCATCCACATCATTTTACGATGTTATTCCAAAATTTTCTGAAGAATGAACACGATGTTGGACGTAATGGGTGAATGTAAAATGCTAGAGAGCCGTAGAGGCGAACCTGTGAGATAAACTCCACAAGTTCGGATCTACGGGTTGCCAGATTTCACTTGAAGTGTAACTAATCATTATTTCTTTATAATGCAAGGAAATATCAAAGATATATACTTAATTAATTAATATGATTATACAATTGGATCATTTATGTGGCTCCAACATGAAACTTGGATAACTTCAGTATATCGGAATTTTTTAAGTCGGTTTTTTCCGTAAAACATTCTTGAAGAATTGCTAACACTGGAACTTACCATGTTTATCATGTTACACCCTCCTTTGTCGCCCTACATCTTGTCACCCCACCTCCCTTTCAAAGCCCTCTTGTTATCGTTCCAGTTCTACACCGCTGATAAGATACAAATTCTTCTATTTAATTTAATATACATGCAGGGTGTCCCTCCCCCCCAAAAATGCCCCTCCATTGTTGGTTGGCCTGTAACTGTAACTGAGGAGTATAGCTATAAATGATTATATCCTAACAAACATTTAATTAAAACATCTTTATTGCTCAATATTTGGTTTGTCTACAAAACCAACCTAGCTTGCGCGTTATTCAGTCATTTAAAATTTAACGTATACGAAATCTATAGTTGTCCAAAATATGGAAATTATGGCAGCTATTGGAAAGGTTATTAATTAAAAGTCTTAAAATAATAAGTTTTTATATAAAACACATTATTCAATTCCCAAGAAACGGCACTTCAATACACACGGGCATTGTGCATGCAGAGTAAAAAATAATACTTAAGACCAAATTTCGTGAGCAAAAAACTAATCATACAGGTCAGCTGTGAAAAAAATCTTGACTGAATTGTTGATTCTGTTGTAAGTGCAATCTTGGACAGGTATGAAATTGGACTAACGATCTTGCATGCGCCGATACAGCCGAACTCTGGGTCGATCGCAACTGAACTACAATATTTTTCAAAGCGGGTTATTGTGACTGCAAATGACAGACAGAAAAATGAGAAAGTGGAAACCCGCGTATACACCATTATAATCATCGTATTTTGTTCACATCCTTTCGAAAAATCGCTGCGAGTTGCGATAAGTTTCGAGCACGATTGAAATATTTGCAGCTTGTCGCAGTGAAGTTGCACTGAAATTGCAGTTCAATCACACGATGTTTAAGCCTAGTTTCCATATGACCGTAACGGTCGTAAATACTGAGTCACGATCTGATTGTATATAGAGAATACTTATATGATTTATATGTGGTTTACAGGTAAAATATATATTATAATCTGGCCGTTGAGAAAGATCCGGTGACACTATATCTTAATCTGTACGACCGTTACGACCATAATTATAGAAACCTGGCTTTACACTAGCGATTTTATGTCGCCATCATGTCAGCAGGAAAAATCGCGGCAAAAATTGCAAGAGTTATCAATGTAACAATTTATACAGTCTTCGGACAGTTACATCCAGACAGTGAAAGTATGCCTTGCATCCACTAAGATTAATCGCCCCTGTCAACACTTCATCACAAACGAAAGCGATCATTTGCACGCGTGTAAACCGACCAGACGTCTTCGAGCAATATTAGTACTTCTATAAATCATGTATCGCTATAGACGTGCTCCAAATCTACCCCAAAGGGCATTGAATTTGGGAGCCAAATGGCGAGCAGGCTGTGAGGAAATAAAAATTCTTTTGAGAGGCAAACTTGGAGCAAGTCAATATATCATCAAATGCATGCAGTGACCTCCAATTAACCATGCAATTGAATATACAGCAACGTGATCGGTGTTTTTTTCGCCCGACCTAATATTACTAAAAAGTAAAAACTACCTGAAAAACGTGCGTAGAACAAAATGCATCTCAATTTCAGATGGTGTTTGAGCATCACAGAAACGGAAATGTATCTCTGAAAGAGTTAACAAATATAACGAGTGCTAATTGTCGCACGTCTCAGATGTCTGTGAATCAATATAGCCTGAGACTCTTAGACAGTTGAACTGAAGTTCTTTCATGGTCTTTGATATGAGAACAAGCGTAAGGATCACAAGGCATGATTTGAGAGAAAATAATCAGCAATTCATAATATGTATTCAGCAACATCTACCATGTCTACAAAAATAAGGTTATCCGTTTTTGGTATATAAAGCATTAAAGGCCGCGGTGTGCCGAAATTTTTGGGCATCTCGATAGAACTAACACTAATAGTTGAAGAATTTTTCTACATGGAAATTTCGAATATACAATTTTAGACCTAACGAGGAGCAATTTACAGCTACACCACTAAACTCTTACCAAGGCCAGGCGCTTATCCCGAAATCACCGCATGGCAAACAGTTGTTGTCATCGCGGCTATATATACAGTGTGTATATTACCTGCAGCAAAATGTTCCCGTATTTGGCATTGGTATATAACACCCCTGCCATGTTTCACAGGTCCCCGCAAAGCGTGAAACGATATAATCACAGTTTTGAAAAATAACATGGATTACCCAATAATGCCAATATATTAAAGTAAAGAAAACGGCCGTAAATTTCGGACAGTCTTCAACTTTATGCAGTTACCAGCTTGCATTACAATTATTAAATATTTCTTCGCTTTAGTTTGAAAAGCTTTGAACGGATTATGATTGAAGCAAATGTTAATCAGTAACGTCTTTAGCTTTCTATATAGGTTCATAGCCGTATATGGTTGCTATATAAACATGCACAGTTAATAAGGAAAAGTGTATTACATAAATGAATGAGTGAATTAAATAAAATAAACTAGGGTTCCGCAGGTTTGAGCGTGCTAACCTTTGCTGTATTAGTGCACTATTGAAAGTGTTTATTCTTGCTATGCCACTAAGGATCAGTATCCATTGGCATTGTCCATTGATAGTTCGGAATATATTAGTTTGGTGCTAGTGCGATTAATTAACGGGATTCTGGCCGGCATGCGTAGCTCTTTGACTTTGTAGTGACTGACTGAACTATAATAAGAACTCAAATGAACTATAATAAGAATCGCATGCGTTTATGAATTCAACGACGTCGGCATGCCTTGTATCTGCGGGCTATCGTTGAAAAAAAAAACCAAGATCGTTGGTTTTAATTTAAATCTATACACTTTCAATCCCAAATCTACATGTAAGAAGCCATCGGGAACCATATGTTCCATGCATCGCTGTTTAACCGTATTAATACACAAACCTCGATAAAATTTCCACCAAACAAGCACTAAACAAAGACATGGCATGCATTTCTGCACAGTATTATTCGACCTACCCTGCGTCTGAGCTGTTGTTTGTAGAGAAAACACTGTGAAAATCGTTAAGTTCAAAGTTCTTTCAGCATGACTTCGTTCTTCTTGCCCAATAATATATAGTCATCGGCAGATAACATTTTCGATTCCAGACTAAGCAAGATCGATGTTTATTTCAACCAAATACTTCCTTTCCTATTGTTCAACATTCGGCTCTAAAATTTTTGCAGACATATATGAACGCCCTCACTCAGTTTGCCATCTATATGTTACTTGCGTGGGAGGATCGAATCATGTGTCGTCTGGGTATGCAAATTTTTGTCGACAGAAGCAATTAGTCTCGTTACATTGTCTCGTACCTAAATGCTTGAGACTGCATGCAATCTATTGATAACCTTACCCTCTGCAAGAGTGTTTTACACAGTATGCGACATTAGTAAAACTGGTATACTATAAAAGGTTCTCTCGACCACAGCTACATATATGCAGACACGCGTATAATCGTTGCGTAGAATCTGATCGGTCATATTAGGGAATGTTGCAAATAAGACTCAAAAAGCCTGAAATCTTATAAAGCCGTGAAATACCAACTGAAAATTAGGATTTATTTGAAACAAAGACATGAGACCTCAATCCTGTTTTAGTTTTTAGCACCGGTCGGTGAAGTCAACCTTTAATCGATCATGCAAGTGCTGATATATGAACAAGGTGAGAAAATCACTCCTCGAAAGTATACAAGACTTTTGGACTTTCGAAAGTCCGGAAATTTAACGATTGGACCTTCTGGGAATTTTGTCGGAATTTTTAGGACATTTTGTAGGTAATAAAGCAATATTTTCATATTCTTCGCAATGTCCTAGTAAAGCTATATGCAGTAAAATGCAATTTGATACTTTCACGAATAGATAATAAAAAATATTTATTTATAGAAAAATTCGTTTCAAAGCAGTTGTCAGAATCCACATCAGTACTGAGGGGGAAATTTCATTAAGTACATGCATAGACTGCTATAATGCCGGTTTCGTCGTATTCTTTCACTATTTTCATTCAATTCGGACGAAAGTGTTAGATTTTAAGTGCCTATATTTTATGAATTTCTTGAATTGTCAATTAGCATATATATTTGTGGATTTTTGGGACTTTTATATTTTTTAATAAACTTTGGAGATAGGATTGAGATTGAGTCAGTTAACTATGAGTCAACAACGTTGATTTTAAGAATGGTACTATAGCCGGGAAAAATGTAGGGCCTTAAGTTAACAACCGTTGATTGTTGTGCCGAGCGTACAGTATAAGATGTGCTTTTAAGTATAAAACATATAAGGAGGAAAATCAGCATAAAACCTGCAGTTGTCAGTTAGTCGAACTCTGAATAAAAGTCAATGCTCGAAGCGGCTCGTTTCGCCTTTCCTGTACACAACCAACGGTATATGATATACGGCGTAGAGACATCAAGGGTGTGGCGAACGCGTCAGCCAATCACAAAAGGCCAATCACAAAAGGCCAATCAACTAGCCCATCCTTGGGAAGAAATATTAACGTTGATCGCTCTATGTGTCGACTGTATGGACATTGTGTTCAAGTAAAGAGATCTAAGAGCCCAAACGAATTCAAATCCTATTTAAATTTCAAGAAAACGTACGTATTCGAGCACAGGTAAGTGAGGTAACACTGCGATCTGCGTATTTCCTTACTTGTACTGAATGGAACATGAATAAATACTGATAACGTGAAGAAAATGGCGTTCCTGTACCCTAGCTCACTGAAAATTTTTCCGGATTACCCAACCAAAACTGAAAATCACTTGCACAAAATCAATCTGACTTTCCGTGAGTCATATTAA